CATATCTATCCAAAATTATACAATAACATAAGCTTTAACCACTGAATGGCAATTATAATTTAAAATATATACCAAATAACAACAAAATCACATGGAGTACTTTGCTAGACTTCTAATGGGGAATTGAAGACTCGAGGATAAGAGTTTTTGATGTTAATATTGGTGAATTCTACGATAAAGGGTAGTATCCATGTTTTTTATAATTCTAAATTAAATTTAAAAATTTTACATAAGGTATATTATTCTTATTATACCATCTGCCCTAAAAAAAAGATGCATTAAATTGTGAATGTGTTGTTCTAGTGTTGCAGAATATAAAGGGAGAGAACTAAATTTCTAGAAATATATATAGTAATCATTTGATTGAAGTAAAACATCACAATCCTACTAGATTGTTACCGCCTTAGCTATAATTGAATGGAAATAATAGGACAAATATACCAATTTATGGCATTTCATTGTTTTTTTTTTCAAATTCATTTTTTTTTTATTCATCAACTTATATATGTAATGTATTATACCTTTACAAATTTATACAAGGACAATTTTTGAGGTGTTAACTTTCTATTAAATCATAAGCATAAGTGGTCCAAATGTTTAGTTAATACTTAGTGATGCTTAAGAATTCATTTACGGATTGATCACATGATTATGAGGGCAATGAATTTGTAAGATTAAATCAAAATAATCTTAAGTCAGATGCAATTATTTTAGATTGCCTCTACAATCTCTATTCTTACTTATGGTTGCGCTTTCACATGTTATTCTTTATGATTGCAACCAAATTCGATAAAAAAAGTAAATAGTAATACCTTAATTAAAAGTAATTGAACTTAAGGTCCATTCACATTTAATTTCTTAAAATGATGGCTACCTTATGCACACTTACTAAACCCTAATGAAACCATTAAATGAGAAAAATATTAATAATTTTTTTAGAAAACCCTCCCCTCCGATCCCCCTCCCCTGATCGGTTAGGGTTTTTCCCGGCAGCTCTTGCCGCTCTGTTTAAGGGGCTATCATTTAAATATGTTCTTGAAGGTCACATGGAGCACCGTTAGGGTGATTTCGGGGCATTCATTTGCGGGGCTAGGGCTTCATCTTAAGGGAAGTCTCTTCCTGTTTTTCTTTGTGGTTTTTCTTCTTGCGCTTGATTTTCATGGCAGGTAGCCGGTTGTTGGATCCCGAATTTTTGAATGGGAAGGTTTAACCTCATTCCTTTAAAGATGCGCTTTCTGGTGGTTCTTAGTCTTCGAATTTTCTCAATCTTAAAATTTCCTCTCATCGTGGGTTGCCATCGTTATGGATTTCGGAAGAGGAGATTCTTTCTCTCACTTCCCCCATTGTATTCGTGTTTGTTGGTAAGTTCCCAGTTCGGAGACCTTTCGTTGACATTATCAGTTCGTTCTTTTTTAACCTCAAGCTTATCGGTGCTTTCTATGTGGCTGCGCTTAATTCTAAGCATATGTTGATGAAGCTTGTAAATGATCTGGATTATTGTATAGTGTTTGCTCACTTATCTTATTTTGTGAGCAATTGCTTTATGAAGGTGTTCTAATGGACACCTTCATTTTATATTGAAGTAGAATCCCCCATTATTCCTATTTGGATGTCATTTCCCAATCTTAGACTGCACCTTTTATCTCCTCGGATCCTTCATGGCCTTGATTCTATGTTTGGCCAACCTCTTAAACTGACAATGATACTTCTTCTAGTTCCTGTCCATCTGTTGCTCGAGTGCTAAAATGAAATGATCAAACTTTGAAGTGGGAAAAATATATCTAACCATGAATATGAAAATTGCATGTGTTTTAACGGTTCAAGTTTCCTAAAAAAAAAGAGCAAAGAGGACGAGTTTTACCTATTAAACATTGAAGAAATTGGGACTTCTGGCAGGCTGTACGGGTGGCCTATTTGGTTTTATCGGCTATCTGTTTTTGGTTTCTACATGTTATGATGTCTATTGGTTGGTCGACTACTCGGATTTGGACAATGATGAGGCAATTTCCTGCCCGTCCTCTGATGGCCTTCACTTGTTTGGCAACCTTGGTGGTTGTTTCTCTGCATTGCTCTGATCTTTGGCTCGTTTTTTGGTGGTTTTTGTGTATTTGGGACTTTTGGTGGTTGTCTGCTTATCCTGGTCCAAGCCAAGCAATGGGGTGGCATTTCTTTTTCCTTTTATTTTCAGACTGCTTTGCATTCTTTCAATTATTATATTGTCTTGGCTGTCCTTTTCTTGTTTTGGCCTTTTTATGGCTTTGCTTTGTATGTCTCGTTTCTTATGTGAATAAATTTCATTACAAGCAAAAAAAAAAAATCAATTGTTTCATGTTTTCCACAACAAAAAGAAATGAACATATGTGAGTGCATAATAAACTCGTGTTGCTTATTGTGCTAAAATGAAATGATCAAACTTTGAAGTGGGAAAAATATATCTAACCATGAATATGAAAATTGCATGTGTTTTAACGGTTCAAATTTCCTAAAAAAAAAAAGAGCAAAGAGAACGAGTTTTACCTATTAAACATTGAAGAAATGGGGAGAAATAAGCAATAAACCACTTGGAATGGTGATGAGTGGTGAAACAGGTGATAGCTTCAGTTTTGGGAGGAAGAATGTGAAAATGAGGAAGATGAGTTGGGACAGAATAGGGCTCTTACCGGCGGAAGAATCCATCGGAAATTAAGTAAATTTTATGAAGACACTTTCGAATTGAAAAACCGCCAAGTGCATTAATCACATGCAAAAATTCTAACGGATATTTTTCTGGGAACTTCATGGGAATTTCTACCAGTAAATCCCTTTTTACCTTGTAGTGGATATTATGACTTCATCGGAATTTAGAAATTTTCGGTAGGCACCGTGGCACTCACTTTTTCAGCTTTGTTACGTACGACCAAATATTTCAAATTCTCCCAAACTTCTCTAAAATTGAGAGCTTGGTGTTGTATCAACGATATCTCCAGCATCACAATACTTCCTTTATTTCTCTTCCCAAATAGAGAACACAATGCTGCAGTGCTGTCACTTCCAGCACTATAACGCTCTAGAAGGCATTTTGGCTATTTAAAATTTCCTCTTTTCCATTCCAACTCTAATCCTATTTGTAGTTAATAAGACAATACATGACTCACACTTGATGAATAAATCAAAATTAAGTAAGAATTTATACAATGTCAAGTTAATAACCCAAGTTCAGAAACGACAGATGTAACATATATAACTTTAAAACTATTCATCCCTCCAACTGCCAGACAATGTTTATAATCAAAATTGTTTTTAAAATACAAAATAAGTTTTATGATTTTTGTTATAGCTTAAAACATGCTGAAAAACATGGAAAATACTTTCTTTGTTTTGAATTATTATGGTTTAGAACAATCATGCACCCACCAAGTTCTTATGAATGCAAATAAAGGGAAAAAAACGAAGAAGATTGGTTTTAAATTATTTGGTATGCTGAGAGCTTCAACAATCCGTGACCTTTTCTTCCCATCTTTCTGCTACTCCGAGCTTTGGAGTTGGGCTGTGATAACATGGTTTCGTACAACCAAAATAAATAGCATGGTCAGAATTATCTTTAATAGTACATTTAAATTTGTCCTTGTTTCTTCTTCCACCATTATTCTTTTACTTCTTGTGCTTTAGAAAGAAACTTAATTTTTTTTATCATAAAAGCAAGCGTGGGCCCGCCTCTTTAGTCGGACAAGTAAATATGGGCCCGATGTTAGTGGGTGGCCTCGTTAGATTCCGCTGAAAGATTAGTTAAATGATAACGAGTAGATGCTCCCGTTTCAAAAAAAAATTGTCATAAATGTAATCTCATGTCCATCACAAGTCTCGTCTCTACTTTTTTTATAATATCATGCTTTTAAAGCAATTTACTTAGCAATAAATAAATGAAATTATAAAAATTCAAATATGGTAAAAGCAACATGTACTAAATGAAATTATATAACACAAATTAATCACATAATTTGGTATTAATCATATTATATTGTATGATCTTATAGAATTTTGATGTACAGCTTTTTGAAGAATGTTTTGAGTTTTATATTTAAATGATTATATTATGGTGATTGATTGCAAGTCACTCTAACACAATCAATAAGTTAATTGCAATCATTTTATAATATTTAAACAAATTAAAATTAAGCTTCATTTGAGACAGATTTCATGCTACTTCCTAAAATAACTTTCTAATATAAAAATTTTCTAATTTAAAAATTTTCTAATTTAAAAATTTTTTTTATTAAAAAACTGTTTTAAAAAGCAATAAAAAAATTGCCTCAAACAAAACCTTAGTATTCATTGAAGCCATGAATTTGGCATTATGAACTTGTTTGCACTCAAATAAGCTCAACCTTCGGCTTCAAATTTTAGTAAATCTTTATTTTTGAGTTATGTTGCTTATTTTGCCATGAGTCTCCTAATGAACTAACACTCTCATGTTACGATCAAACAAAACATTAGCCTTAACAAAATTATGATTAGATCATCCAAATTATACTAATCGCGCAGGCTCAAAGAGAGTTAACAGCAGCAACTCTTCAGTCCAAATGTTGCTGCTTATCCTATTCAAATGAAGAGGTCCAACGAATGCTATTCAATAGATGATTGGAAACAGAGGATGCAACTCGTTGGAGAATTAGATCATCTCCAACCGAAAATCTCATTTTTCACTCCACCGTGAAACAAAAAAATGATGTGAATAATCTCCAATCGAACTCCATTTTACCCCCTTTTGTGAAGGTAATGATATTTATCTTCTTTCACGCGTTTCTTCGACAAGTTCGGTAGAGATAAAAAAATAACAAAGATGAACAGTGCAACGTCAATATTGGCGTCCCACTGTTCACCCGCAACAAAATAGCGGAAGTTTTACCGTCCGGCTGGAGCTCGCGAGCAACGCCATTCAAGCATTTGGAGTTCGGTTGGAGATGCACTTAAGAGGATGAAAATCCAGTTTTAACATAAAAAATCATCAACAGATAGAAATATATATTGAAAAAACTTCACTAAAACAGGACAACTAAAATACATCTTAAAAGCTTGCAGACACAGAATGGGGGTTAATAAAACTGGGGTTGTAACTAAAATCCCCTACAAGTTAACTACAATCCACATTCATTGTTAGTTTAGGAAGGATTGTAGAAAATTAATACAGTAAAGAGCTCACACATCTGACCCTATAAAGCTGATACAATGATATCACAGCTCCACACAGCCTTTCGGTCTGATTCGATGCAAAATATACTTTCCAAACCGATCCTTTCTTATGGCAAAGCCAGTTACTCTCTTGTTAGCAGCCCTATAACCCAAATGTACTTGTAATCTTCAGATGCCCAGGAAATGGCTCCCTCATAAGAATCAATAGCTGCACAACCATGCCAATGGAAAACCAGAAGCATGCCCTTTCTACAAGTACAGAGAGTTGGCGAACATTATTCCACGCCGAAGGCTTTCAGTGCCTGATTCAAACTTCTTCTCCAGATTGATCTCTCCTACAGCATGGGCAGCAGCTTTCAACTGCAGAATACAAAAGATCAGCCACTAAGAAGCAATTCACAACATATTGTACATAACTGAATATAACTTGCTTTTAGCAATGGGGAAGTACGCAGTGCTCATCACAACTCCAATGAAACATGTGAATAGGTTCTGAGGAAGGGCAAATTATTCTGTGCGGAGGCCGCACGCAAGCTTATGTTCGAATTTGCTGCGCTTTTACTGCGCTTTTGTTATAATTTTGTAAAAGGCAGCTAATAGACAATTTTAATTGTGTATTAATTGCACTTTTGGTGCCCTTTAGTAAAAATACAACAAAAGCACAGTAAAAACGCAACAAATATTTTACTAATTAAATATTTGTTGTCCTTTTGCTGCGCTTTTAGAAATACTAAACAAAAGCGCAGCAAAAAGGCAGCTAATACGCAATTAAAATTGTTTACTTCCTTTTGCAAAAATACAACAAAAGCGCAGCAAATCTGAACCTAAGCTTGTGTGCTGTCTCTACCTAGAATAATTTGTCCAGAGAAAGACACTAAACTTTCAAGAATATTACCTGGTTCAAGAATTCATCTAGCCGTCTGGCTAGGCGTATAATGCTTCCCTCAAAAATATCTGTCATTTCAATCACCTCTGCAAACGTTGCGCCCTTCAAAAAGAGCAAAAAATTAACAAGCTGAAGCTGAGAGGATGAATTCCATAGCATTAATTGTTAAAGGTTCAAGTAATTGCTGTTTGATAGTTTGTTACTAATTGGCTGATAAATCATAAACATATTTAGAACCAGAAGAAGAGAAATAGTTTCATTCCGCTACAAGAAAGCAGCCATGAATGCTAGCTTTTATATAATTAATATAATAGTAGGAAGCAAGTCTACAGGGAATGCAAACCTTCGACCAACAGTAGATAACATCCATCAAATATGGTCTTACAGTTGCTTCAACATACTCCTCCACATTTATGTCCAATTTGCACTCACGTTGTATCTGCATGTGCACCACGCAGTTTAGTGCAATCAACATAATTTTTTTTATTAAAAAAGGAGAAGAAAGATACACGGTAAATAAAATGCTTTTAAGAGAAAGACCACCACTTTCTAAAGACAAAAGGGGGAAGGGTTGCAACTTGTAAAGCATCCCAAACCAAGCAGGAGACAAAGGACAAACAAACATAAAACTAGGAAACCCCTCAAGTGAGGACTCCACCTTCATTAGTTTGAATTGCGTAAAAAAAATTTCAATACAAACAAATGAAAAAAGGTCACTCCTTACACTTGAGGGGACCAAGTCCCTGCCTTAGTGCAATCAACATAATAGTTTCTCTTTAGAAATGAATGAATAGAATAGAAACAAAACAAACCTCGGCTATTTTTCTGGCACTATCCTGAAGCTGTTGTAAAGGTTTTGCTAGCTCAATTCTCGAAAATACTTGATCACTTGATTTATCTCCAGGAATAAAGCAGCTTGCAAGGGCAACAGCTTGATGTGGATCGAGATCATTAAATGTACCTGTTACAAAATTACAATAATTAAACAAACTTAGTTCTGTAAACAACTACCGTAGAAAAGGTAAAAGTAAAAATATTCACTTGGGTGTAGGGAAACACCATTAAACATAAGCTCCGTGACAAGAAGTTCATCGCCAGTGTCAATCAGACAGGCAGCACGCCCCTTCAACTGAACTACACTGTCTGCGTCTATGTGACCAAGCCTCTTTAGAACCCTTGAACGGTTTTTCAGCTCATCACGGAACTTTTGTAGCTGCAAAGAAGGAACAGGAAACAAATTCCATCAAGAAAATTCGATGAATGAAAACGATAGCATTTATGATAAGGAAATGCACAAACCCAAAGATGAATCAAATGGTTAACATAGAGCAGCTAAATATTGATTGAACGGGTGAAGGAAAATATCCTGCATGTGAGCTCAACCGAGCATAAAAAAGGCAAGGCAGGTGGAAAAATAGTTCAGTAGATCACCTGAGAATCCCTCATCTTGGACTTAAGCAGTTGGATTTCATGATTTAGCTGAGCTTTTCTTTGGAACCATTGGTATTGCTTCTCAGTTTGGGTAGACTAGAAGGGAACACAAAGCAACCGGTGTAATATAATAGTTCTGCCCATTATAAAACTCATCAGGTACAAAATACAGTACCAAACCAAGTAAATACAGACCTCATGCAGTGGATGAGCGGCTAATTTCTGCTCCAGTTCTTCAAATTTATGAACTAATTCAGTAAGTTCCGGATCATTGATACCCATGTCCTGATGAAGAATAAAAGTTAGATTTAAGACATTTATCACTTCAGATTAACAGCATATCACTTACAAACCTACGAATAAGCATCTTTAACTTCCAAAACTAAGAAACAAAAAAAAATTCTTCAACAAGGTTCATGAAATTTGAAATATATGATAGATGCTATCTAACATTTCTGTCAGAACTTTCCAAAGTTGATCTATAAGAAGGGACCGATAAGAAAGGATCAAGCTATGCGACTTACCTTGACAGGATTTAACCTGGGGAGTCCATGAGGAAATTTCTTATGCAGTTCCTGCACAGCTAGAAGTACTGTCTGTCTTGCCTCTGCAGGACGAAGATCAGGAGGGAATGAAATTCTTATATTGCTGATGCCGGATATTAGATGTAACGGTACAGGAACCTACAGTATAGCATTCAAACTAACAATTACACTTAAACCAGTAAAACTAAATGGATTCTAACTTAATCCATCCAAATCACACAAAACTTTTGAGAATTACTCTAGATTATTGCTAATAAAGTGGGTTGCTTTGATAAGCTTGAACTCACCACATGCATTTCACTCCTTTCTCCAGGACAAGGTGGGAATGGCTTTTGGCGAGAACCGTTGTCGCTTGAACCAAGAGAACAATTAAGCAAAGTATCGACGAGGTAACTACTACCACGTGAAGCAGCAAGTGCAGGTTGTAATGAACCTGCTCCTGAAGGAGGTTTTTTAACCACATTAACTACAACTCCCCAACCCCAATCAGTCCCACCCTCCCGTACCTTGACCTGAAAAAGGAAGCAAAAGAAACCTGAAAAACTTCCACGACATTTTTTCAACGCCTTAAATAGAGGATGCCTGATTAAAAGGGTGAAAATATTTTGAAATTCAACTCAGATTGAGGCATAAAAATTTTTTATTTTCATACTTATTGATTAAAGAATCAAATTTGATCACTGCAAGCTCCAAAATTTGAATGCTTTAATTGATGCAATTAGGGATTTGTTCTTTAAAAAACAGCAGCCTACCACAGAAGTTTTGACTAATTCTAGGAAAAAATCAATTGAACTTGAAAGTATAAAGAGGTTACCAGATACATACCAGCCTACCCGGGACTAAATAATACAAAATCCTTTCAGGCCTGGTGATTTCAGACATGATCTTCCTTTCAAGTTGAGCAATTTCAAGTCCCAAATTATGATAATCAGCAAGTTCAGTCTATGCTAAGAAAATCAAGTCAATATAAAGCATATACATTGAATTTAAATATATTCAATGCAAACTCAGACATTACCTCGCCTGAGGATTCAAGCATAGCTGCTTCTGTTTCCAACTTCGAAATCTTTTTGTTCATGTCTGGCAAAGACTAGGTAAGAAAAAAAGACTTTAAATATCTCCAGAACTTAAAGCTACTGAGTTCGCATGAAATATTAGAAGAAAACAAATAAAACTCTAGAGCAGACCTTCTCATACTGGAACTGGTGGAATGAATTCTTTATAACATGCTCGGCTGTAAATTGACCCTCAGCACGGCTCAGTAAATTTAGAATAGTGTAATAACTCAACCTGAAAGTACTGACCAAAGGGGCAGGTTTACCCAAAACCATGTCCTTGAGAACATCCATTTCCATCTGAAAAGAAAAAAAAAAAACATTAAGCTTCTTCAGAAACTCATAAGATGTTACCTTAGAATGCTTTGTTGGAAAAACAAGCAACATATGGACTGATTTTCAGAATATTGTTTCCTTCTCACATAACGGACTTTTTTTTTCAAAACTTTTCAAGATTTAATACTAATTTATTTTCTCTTGCTATGCTTGCCATATTTGTGTCGCAAAATGATGAGTTATCTCATGTGCAGCACTAGAGTAAAATGGTTCGCCTTAAGTCCCAACAATTATATCCTCGCTACACTAGGAAATAATGATTTATAAACTACACCAGCAGAGCAAAAAAAATTGCAAAAAAAAAATAAAAAACAACATAAAGCGTTCTTATACAATAAAGGAAAAAATATTGGCCCTTCATAAAGTTATGCTATTCTTGGTAGCTTGATGCTCATCTTTGCTTCTCGCTTCTATGCTTTTAGAAACATAAAACAATCAAATCCACCAACAAGAAAAAAATAGATAAAAAACTCAAAATAATCACCTGACTATTAATATGTAGCCAACTTTATCCCCCAGTATTATTACATGCTTCCAATTTAGTCTCTAAAAATTGGCCCCAAATAGTTCGCCAGTAGAAATTGAAAGAAATTGAACCTAATTTAGTTAATTTAGTCTCTCGATCATATAAAATTAATACAAATTTAGTCCATGAGAGATTACTTGTGATAAGCTAAATTTGAGAAATGTGATATTCTAAGTCTAAATTGGTGATGAGGACATCAGATTTTGACATGTGTACCATCGCCGGAGACGTAGATCGACAGCTACGATCCAGAGCCTCTATTTCTAATTTATTTGTATTTTATTTATGCTTGTATTTCGTTTCCTAGTTTGCCCCTATGGGCATTGAGTCACTTATGTAGCCCTGATGGCATTCGCATCATTTCATCTTATTTTATTTTGGCATACTTATATAAGGCCTCTTGCAATGTAATAGTTTAGTTTTATGAATGATTGAATGAAAAGCTTATGCTTCTTGGTGATCTCTTAGTGAGATTCTTGGAGGAGATAAATATCTTTGTGAGTTCTAGGGAGGAGATAGATCTCTTTGTGAGTTCTAGGTTTTCTTTCCAAGTTTTCTTTGTGAGAATTTGGATTGGGAACAACTGAGGTGAGTGAATCTGTGACCATTCAAATCTCTATTATGTTTTCTTTTAAAAAAAGGAATTTTCCTTCTCCCTCCCCTTTGCTCCTTGCCGCCGTCACTCCCTAGACCGTCCAAGCCGTCGGCTCCTTGGCAGCCACCACCCACCGGCAATCCTCCCCGCCCCTTGGCCCCGTCCCCTCCTAGTAGCCTCCGGCCTCCCGCCTTGGTGAATTTCAAATTTGAAATTCAAATTTGTTTCCAAGAGCCATTGAAGACTTTCCTAAAATATCTCCTTGATTTAAAGCTATCATATTAATTGAATTTCAATTTGAATTTGAAATTCAAATTAATCCTAATTGATAGCCTTCTTATTTGGAAACTTTCCTTCCTTGCAAAATCTGAAATTTAATTCAGATTTTAATATATGTTTGATTAGTGTTGTGGACCCCGCTCACTAATAACAATTACTCTCTCCACTCTCTATATGTGGTCGGCCCCCTTCATGGGGTTTCTCTCTCCCCTAAATTAACTCCATAATCCCACCAAATCAGCCCCCATCCACTCCCCATTGCCGCCCCCTATCCCTAATTGGATTTAATTTGAAATTTTCAAATTAATTCCTTCCCACTCACCCAAAACCTGAAATAACTTCAGAATTCCTGATTTTATTCCTTGTTTTCCCACTCTAGCCGCCCCTTTCAAGCTCTCACGCTGGCCCAACCCCTTCTCCCTCCACGCCGCCACCTCATCTCCCCTTTCTCCTTCTTGGTGCTCTTTCATTTCCGGAAAGGATGCATGGCGGATCCCGAAGTTGATCACGGATTCGTACTCGACGCCCACGGAGACATCCACATCGTTCGATCACCATTCTTCGACGTCGGGTTTGGTTTTGACGACACCGTTGAAGAATACTTGAACCGAATCCTCCCCCGTCTCGTGGACATCCTCGACGATCAATTCTTGGACTACGAGTGGACCACCAACGGCCATCCACCCGTTTCTCCAAATCCCGATTCTTCCCCGGCGACGAGTCCTCTCGGCATCACTTGTGTAATAGTGGTATCTCTAAGTGTTCTTATGATCCTCTTCCGCTAACCTCCACCTTCAAGAGTGATTAAAGGATCTCGAGGTGAAGGATCTATATTTTAAACGTAAGACTTTGCTATAATTGTCTATTTGCATTATTTAAATCTTCGGTTGTTCTTTTGCAAGTTCTTGTAATCTCCAAGTGTAATCAATTACTATGGCTTAATTTTTCATGACATCTTCTTGAACTCTACTTGAGTAAGCTAGACTTTATTGCTAGTATGCGAAGTTAATAACTTTTATCAATCTCTTAAATTGCAATTCTTGTATTCACACATAGTATCACAACAATTGGCTACACATAAATAGCCGGAAGGACCATATTTTAACTCCCCCACACATATGCTTAATATCAGGGCAAGTTATTGCGTGTTTTAAAAGTCCAATGTGCTATAATTCTAAAGACAAGATTTAGTTATGTTTGTCAAGATGCAAGACTGGATACAAAGCAGGTAAAAACTGAAAACAGATTAAAAGTTTAAAAGTAAGGCAGAGAATGGCCAGAGGCTAATTGGTTTAATGATCTTTAAATGCTTAAAATTTTAAATGAATGTTCTACTTTTATCAAAAACTTTTGACAGGTTTTACAAAATGTCAAGAGCTTTGAATTTTACCATCGCAATTTCTTTGCATATTTTGAAGCTTGAATAGATCATGGACACCTCAAATCCGTATAGACAGTAAGCAAAGAAGAAAAGGACACTAAACTGAATAAAGACTGCAAACTATAGGAACAAGTTCATGATTATGATGCATTTACCTTCTCATCAATCATTATAATGCAAATGCCACGCTCATCTTTACCACGACGGCCAGCTCTTCCACTCATCTATTCATGGGACATGCAGGTGCCACAAACCAATGCTTGTTAGTAAAAGGATAAAAATATACATTGAAGACTTCTGAAAAAATGATTGAGTCATCAATTATTTTTGTGATACCCAGATCATAAAAAAGTTATCTTCCTTTACCTGAATGTATTCACCAGATCCAATATAACGATTGCTGTCACCATCCCATTTTCTCACAGATGTGAAAACAACAGTCTTTGCAGGCATATTCAGGCCCATAGCAAACTATAGCGAGCAAAATAGCACACATTTGAAGATTAATAATATCCAAAGAGTTGTCCAGAAAGATTTAGCCAAAGTAGGAGTAAAAACAGTAAAGCTCTAAACAGCAATACATGGAAAAGAAGTACATAAAAATCTAACCTAAATTGTTAAGAGAAGCCTGACAATGATCATGAATTGCAAAAATTTACGAAGATGAGTCACCAATAATACTTCATTGATCATTCCTATCGCAAAACAACCACACCTATTTCAGTCTAAATCACCGAGTCACTAAGCTTATCTATCCAGATCATAACCCCAGAAAGTTATGCAGAAGAAACGCTTACATCACAAATATTGCAAACTTACTGTTTCCGTGGCAAAAAGAGCTTTGACAAGGCCTTCCTGGAATAGCAACTCTACTAACTCCTTAATTATTGGAAGCAGTCCTGAATGATGGACTGCTATGCCCCGTTGAAGTAGTGGAAGCATTAGCTGAATAGCTGGTAAATTTCTATCTTCCTCGCTCAAGCAGAGGATAGCATTTTTAAAAACCTGTTCAACAACATCCCTTTCTTCTTCGGTGTTAAAGTCAAGTTTAGCCATGGACATAGCATGCTGCTCGCACTCCCTTCTGCTAAAGCTGAAGATTATTACTGGTTGGAATTTCCGCTCCATTATCATCTGAGCAAGAAAAAAGAATAATAATCACGCATTAAACATGAAGTTTTAGAATAAGAAACAAAAAGCAATGTGGCGAGATGTTGAGCATGACGCCTTGAATAAGCCTTGATTCAAACAAATCAAAAGCAAATGATATTACAATATCTAAAATTGGAAACAAATAATTAACAAATAAATAGCAAGAAACGATGCAATAACTATAGAAAATCGAATAAATAAATGAATAGGTAGCTATGAGCAACTTGTAGAGCAAACCTTTGGTTCCTCTACAAGGGAATCTATCACACATATGCAAAGCTCAAGAGTCGAGATCAAGAAATCTAAGGTGCTACAAGGTCAGTCAAACATTAGAACAAGAGAACCAGATATACATATTTCAAAGGATCATTTAACATGAAGGGGGAAAGAAGCACGGGCATAACATTAAGAATGTCAAGGAACCACAGTTTTACAACGGCAGTCAGACTATAGCAGCATTCAAAATTGCAAGGCAATCAAAGTGGTTAAGAAGCTACCATTTTCCTTCTATAAAAAATATCTCACTGACAGATTACACGGCAAAAAACTGATATAAGTGGTTACCCTGAATACTTTTCAGTATTAAATCGATAAAAAAGGAAATTCTTATAGATTCACATAAACATGCAGTATGTATCACCCCCTGTTCCATCTATCGGTAGGATATTGAAACAAGTCAAACCAACTCTAAGATGTACATGAGATCAAAATACGCATCAAATAAATTACATTACAAATAAACTCAATTGCACACATATGCACAAGGTAAGAAAAAATAAAAATTAACAATAAGTATGGTGTAAAATGAAGTAAGAAGATTTCCCATAATAAGATGCATCATGCCATGAAAATCTAGAATGATCTATGTACTAAAACTCATCCGAATTACAAAATGCAGAAAGGATAAGAATAAAAAACAAAGAAGACAAAAGTATAAAAAATGAAGCATGAACAACAAAAAGAAACAAAAATCAAAGAAATAAAAATCAAGCCCAACGAGATAGGGACAACATATGTAGATGCCGTGCAACCAAAGAAGTAAGCATATATGTACTTCACTTCCTCTTCAATACAACAAGACAAGATATACCTTCACAATCTTGTATATGTCAGAACCCGCTGAAGCAGTACCACCCTTTGCAATCCGGCTACTTGCTTTTACATTTCGGTGGCCATCCACCTGATTCTTTTGCTTAGTGAAAGTCTCCTGCAGCTTTGCAAAATTATCCTCTTTAAACTGCTCATTCTCATCCACCACCAGGTACAAACCAGATCCACCCACCGGAAACACATAGTGCTGTAAAGGTGTAGGCCTGAAGTCCGTGTAAACTACATGACAGGGCTGTTTATGCAACTTGCATATCCACTCGGCAAATTCTGTGGCATTTGACATGGTCGCAGATAAAAATACCATCTTGATTGCTGGTGGCAAAAAAATTATGCTCTCCTCCCACACAACCCCTCTTTCTCGGTCCTTCATATAGTGTATCTCATCAAAAATAACCCATGCTACCTCCTTTAGTAATTCTGTACCCCTATAGAGCATTCCTCTGAGTATCTCTGTTGTCATGACTAGGCAACTGGCATGAGGTGAGAGGGTCACATCACCGGTCATCAAACCAACATCAGAAAACTCCTGATTTAACTCTCTGTATTTCTGATTGCTTAAAGCTTTCAAGGGTGAGGTGTAGATAACCCTCTGCTTGTCACGGAAGGACATTGCGATGGCATACTCAGCTACTGCAGTCTTACCAGCGGAAGTGTGAGCAGATACCAAGACAGACTCATTCCGCTCTAGACAAGCAATTGAAACTCGTTGGAATGGATCTAATTCAAATGGATACGTTTTAGCCATTTTTCCAACATAGATTGGATTCTCTAATGTCCCATGAATTGATTCATTATTTGATGAACTAAAATCATCTGGAAAAGCAACCTCATGGATGCAAGTTCGAGATATATTGCGCCGTTTCACTGCACTTTCAGAATTCTGAGTTTCATCAGCTGGTGAGGGATTTTCATCTAAAGCTTCTTTCGAAAGTTTCCTCTTGCCTGTACCTGGTACTATTTCCATCCCTCGAATTGAGTTTCAATAACTATAAGTGATGCCAACTTAAATTCTCCTGAAAGAGAAAAATAGAAAAATGATATAAAATATAAATAAAGGAAAATCACAGTTATATATTAGATATTCAGAGCTGTATTTCAAGCATGTCCATATATTGGAGCATGCAATGGGATATGCATAAAAAATTCGAAAGGGAATAAAAGGATGTTTCTCAATCCCCCTCACCCGAATATAATAGGAAAAAAAATCAAACAGATGTGAAGTAGCAAATTTTATGAAGCACATATATTAAGAAGACAACTAGAGCACAAGAGCACAAAGAATATTCAAAACCAAGAGATGACAATGCCAAGGGCGGAATAACACACTGTAAACTCTAATATAACTGTGAAATTTAAAACTCTAATATACATCAAGAGTTAAAATCAATAACATAAGTAAGAAATAGATTCCTATTACATAATTTTATTGCATCCGCAAAAAAACAAGATCAAACCACAAGCAAACCAAAACAGCACTATTCTCAAATAACAAATACGGAATTATTGAGCAATAAATGAAGAAACAAGATGATCAAATCCAACTACTAATAACTCATGCTCTTTCTGAAATATTAAAAAGAATCGTACAACTAGGTCCACATTTATTAGGAAAAGTGCAAGTAGATTCCCTTTAAGAAATCTAACTTAGGCCATTAGTTTTAACAGAGTTTAACAACAGAAACTAGACTATTAGATTACCAACTTTATTGAAAATATGCAAACAATACCTTCTAGTTAAAAAAGAGTTTTAAACAGGCTTAAGACAATGTCACAAAAACTTGTTTTTCTCTCCAACACCTCTGATATGCCGGCCCAGGAGGGGCTGGCTGGACCAGTACAGGTTTATGTTCGGCGGAACAGAGAAGCTGGGGGGGGGACCTCTAGTGGGCCCCAATTGGGTTAAATCAATGTTTAGGAGGGAAATATTTGAATTAGAGTGGTGTTTAGGGAATTTGTATGATTCCTTTTTGCTTTAATTAGGGAGTAATGCGAGGATGAGGCTCATCTTGAATTTTGAGTCTTATTTTGAGAACTAGGATTTTCTTTTGGGCTCTTGACAACGCCGGAGATTAGGAGAGTTTTCCTTCCTCTCGAATTGAAGGAAATTGTATCTTTGCTTGTTTTCTTGGATTATCTAGTGAAATACAATTGCTCTATTGGTTTTCCTACAAGTTTTCTCTCCAATTTCCTCAGTTTTCTACTGTTATTGGCTGATTTCCTGCTGTGAACAGCAGTTTTCCCTGCTGCAGTACTTATTTTTGGGTGGGATTGCTTGTGCATACGAGTATTTCCTATCAAATTGGTATCATAGCATCGATTGGGGACCTTAGGCGGCTGAAATCCCTTTTTTTCAGCTTGCTTTTGGCTTCCGGAAGTGATATTTTTGAGATCCGTCGAGAAGAACGATGGCCGGAAAGAAGGTTGACGTCTTGGAAGGCGAATTTGGCCAATTGAAAGCCGATTTGGAGGAAAGATTCTTCAACTTTCAAAATCAAATCACCTCCAACAATGAAAGGTTGGAGGGGAAGTTCACAGCAATTGAGGAAATGATGAAGAAACTACTTGAAATGAAGACCAATCCGGCAACATCAGAAGTAAGAGAGACCACCGACGGCCATGGCATGGGAGGAAATCCGAACCCCTTGCGGGGGAGGAGAAATTCGGAGGTGGAGATCCTAGAGGAAGAGAACGACATGCCTCCTCTAGAGCCTCTTTCGAGGGAAGAGATGAGTATGGGATATGACAGAAGGGGGGCTGATTTTGGTGGGAGGAGAGAGGGATCTCATCGCCGAGGTGCTGAATTCAGCGTCGAGGGGGGATTTTGAAGGAAGAAGGGAGGAACGTCATCGTCAAGGTGCTGAATTTGAAGGTATTTAGCGTCGAGGTGATGATGTTGAAGGTAGGAGAGGAGAGTATGAAGAGGGGTTCGAGTATATTCGTCGGTGGGACGATCGGGACAATTGGGGACCACCTCCTCTAAGAGGAATGGGAGGCTATGAAGGATACCGGGGAGATCCCAAGGTGAGGAAATTGAAGATGCCTGTTTTCGAGGGGGAGGATGGCCATGGGTGGATTTATATGGTGGAGCAATATTTTGCTGTCAATGGGTTGACGGAAGAAGAGAAATTGACAGCGGCGGGGATGTGCTTGGAGGGGAAAGCCTTAGCCTGGTATCAATGGCGTGACAGACGGGAGCCCATCCGGAGCTGGCGAGAGTTCAAAGAATGCTTACTAGAGCGTTTCTGAGCCGATGGGGAAGAAGACTTCTATGAGCAATTCTTTGCCCTTACCCAGGAAGGCACAGTGGCAGATTACCGGAACAGGTTTGAGTATCTGGCTAGTAGGCTAGATCATATCTCGGAGTCAATCATGGAAGGGAATTTCATGAAGGAGCTAAAACCAGAGATAAGAACAGCAGTCAGAGTGTTGGAGCCAAGGAGTCTCGGCAAGGCCATGGAGTTGGCCCAGTTGGTGGAGGACCAGAAGAAATCTGAAAGAGGGACTCGGGGAAACTATTCAGGGGGGTCGTACAGGACGACGACCACATTCTTACCAGTAAAAGGGCAGGCCCCGGGAGCATGAAGGAAACACCCAAAGAGAAGATGGAGAAGGTAATGATGGGCAGTTCAAAAAGTTGACTGAGAAGGAGCTGCAGGAAAAAAGGTTAAAAGGGGTGTGCTTCGGGTGTGATGAGAAGTACATGCCGGGGCATAGGTGCAAGGACTGATCTCTTCATATTCTCCTCGTTAGTGAAGATGAGGAAGACGAAGAGGGAGGTGGGAATGACCACGAGGAGGAGGAGAAGGAGAAGTTGCATCTGAACGTGGCAGAAGTCTCTCTGAACTCAGTAGTGTGACTCACTTTGAGTCACACTATGAAGTTGAAAGGAGAGATCTCTTACCGTGAGGTTGTGGTGTTGATAGATAGTGGAGCAACACGCAACCTCATTTCCACCCAGATTGTGGATGTATTGGGGATGGAGCTAGAGGATACCAGAGGTTACGGGGTAATGATGGGCACCGAAAAGGTAGAGATGGGTCGAGGAGTCTGTCGAGGAGTAGTACTGAAGATTCAAGGGATCCATGTAAAGGAAGACTTCCTTCCCTTGGAATTGGGGAGTACGGATGTCATCCTTGGGATGAAATGGCTGCAGACATTGGGAGAGACCAAAATCAATTGGGGTATATTGAGGATGGAGTTGGTGGTTGGGGGCAGAAAGAGGACAATTCAGGGTGATTCCGAACTGACCAAGGCAGGAGTTTCTCTCAAATCCCTCATCAGAACCATTCAGGAAGAGGGGGAAGGCTACTTAGTAGAGTTGCACCACCTGGAAGGGGTCAGATTGGAGGAGGAAGGCAATGTTCCCTCTGCAGTACAGCCGCTCATACACCAATTCAGCGAGGTCTTTCACCCGCCCCAGGGTTTACCTCCTCATAGAGAGTTGGAGCATGCCATTACTTTGAAAGAAGGTGAGACTCCGATCAGCGTCCGTCCTTACCACTACCCACAGATTCAGAAAGATGAGATTGAAAAGCTGATCCGGGAAATGCTGGAGGTGGAGATTATCAGACCAAGCAACAGCCCTTTTTCTAGTCCAGTCCTCCTGGTCAAGAAGAAGGATGTGAGTTGGAGATTTTATGTGGATTACAGGGCTCTGAATAAAGGCACTATACCAGACAAGTTCCCAATTCCTGTGATTGATGAGCTGTTAGACGAGCTACATGGTGCAGTGATGTTTTCTAAGCTGGATTTAAAATCCAGATACCAACAGATCAGAATGAGGGAGGCAGATGTTCCAAAGACAGCGTTCAGGACACATGAAGAGCATTCTGAATTTCTGGTAATGCCCTTTGGTTTGACTAACGCTCCTGCAACCTTTCAATCCTTGATGAATCGAGCATTCAAGCAGCATCTGAGAAAGTTTGTCCTGGTCTTTTTCGATGACATCTTGGTGTACAGCAAGACTGTGGAGGAGCACTTAGAACATTTGAGAGTGATATTGGAAGTGCTTCAGGAGCACCAGTTGAAAGCTAACCTGAAGAAGTGCAGTTTTCCTCAGGCAAGTGTGGAATACTTGGGACATGTGGTATCTCAAGAAAGAGTGGCAGCGGATCAAACAAAAATTGAGGCAAAGCAGAAATAGTCGCTACCTAGGAACCTCAGGGAATTGAGGGATTTTCTAGGATTGACTGGATACTACATGAAGTTTGTGAAGGGATACAGTACCATTGCCTGGCCTTTGACTGGGCAGCTGAAGAAGGACAATTTTTGTTGGGGAGAGGTAGTCACCCAGGCGTTCGAGAGGTTAAAGGAAGCCATGATGACTGTTCCTGTTCTAGCTCTTCCAGACTGTGTTCAGGTCTTTATAGTAGAGACGGATGCATTAGGATATTGGCTAGGTGCAGTGTTGATGCAGAATCACAGGCCAGCAGCATAATTCAGTCAAGTGCTTTCAGCCAGGGCTAGATTGAAGTCAGTGTATGAAAGAGAGCTGATGGCCATTATCTTGGCTATTCAAAAGTGGCGGCTGTATCTCTTGGGAAGGCACTTTATTGTGAGGACTGATCAGAGGAGCTTGAAGTATTTGCTAGAGCAAAGGATGGTGACTGAAGAGCATCAGAGGTGGTTATCCAAACTATTAGGCTATGACTTTGAGATCCAGTATAAGCCTGGTTTGGAGAACAAGGCAGCCGACGCTCTATCCAGATATGTGGGGGAACTCCAGGAGTTAGCTCTGTCCGTACCCTTGATGGTCGACTGGGGAGCCATCAAGGAAGAAAGCATGTTAGATGAGGAATTGGGAAAGATCAGGGAGGATCTACGGAAGGATAGAAGTAGCCATCCGGGATACTGCCTCGAGGGGGAGAGACTATTGTATCAGGGGAGGTTTGTTCTGCCACGAACCTTCATTCACATCCCCAACTTGTTGCAATAATTCAACGGTAGCACAATTGGAGGCCATTCAGGAGTTCAGAAGACATACAGGAGGCTAGCAGCAGAACTCTATTGGAAA